GCCACACGGAAAAACGTCCAAACAGGAAGCCAAACGGAAAAACGAAGCACAATGATTACTCACAAATTGCTGACAATATCCAGTCTTCCTCCCCTATACCATAAAACTCGTCAAAGCGCATCCTCCTCGACACTGCCCGCACTCTGGCGATACCCTACCCGTTTCAACCGGCACCGGAACCGATATCATCAGGCAACAGGCGACCTCTTTGTGAAAAGTCGGACGACACCAACTGTTAAACACAGTTGATGCCGCCCGAAGGTTCTAGCCTATGCTTCAAAAGTTTCCCCACTCTGGTGCCCGCCTTTCACTGTACCGTCCCAAGGTCCCAGTGAAAGCTTCTTGTGGGTACCAAGGCAGCCTCCGCTCCCTTAGCCTCCCTATTGTTGAGGTTTCAGCCTCCTGACAAGTCAGTGCAACTCTGACGAAACAAACAATCTTGTTATCATCGGTTTTATTTTCCCTTCCCTTTTCGCTCTTATGATTCTTGTTGTTGATGATTCTTTTCAGTGTGCCTTTTGCATTTTGTTTCTTTTCCCCTGTACCTGCTTTGTATCTTGCCCACCTCCGCCTCCCCCTCGCCCACCAGCCTCCTGCAACCGCTTCTTGTTCAAACTTCAAAGTCTTGTTGCTCTGTCGCCCTGTGCCGGATGCTTTACGTTATTTTGCTGCCGCCTGGTCTGTTAGCTGTCTGGTGCTTTGTTCTTCCTTCCTTTTCATTGTCCTCTGCATTGCCCTCTGCTGCTTCGGGATGCTGCTGTTAGTTGCCCGTCCCCTCCTTTGCCTTTGTTCTTATGGTCTTCTGCGCTCGGGCTCTAGTCCCTATGTCTTGGTAGGGTCGGCAAAAGATAGAGGTCGATGTATGCGCAGGTTTCGTTGCTTTCGTGTTTGGGATGTGTGTACCTTCTGTATTTACCATACGATGCAGCTCTCTCTCTCTGCTATGATTTTTTATCGCACTTTTAAACACAGCTCGCCACAATTGGCATCGCGATAGCCGCCTATCCTCAATCACACACACACACACACACACACACACACACACACACAAAACACATACTTTTTCGTTATCGATGGCTTGTGATGATTTGTGAAGGGAATAAGAAAGAGAATCTGAGGTCTTTTAAAACCACACACACACACACACACACACACACACACACACACACACACACACAGGTCGCATCTTCGGCATAGCGAACTTGCCAGCTTTGTGCGCACATAAATGGCGCCCTTGCCTCCCGCAGCCGGGTGTGACGACTGCCTGGAGAGGCACCGCAGTCGCCCGCCTACCTACCGTTAGCAGCAGAAACAGCAAACTTTCATTGTCCCACCCGCGTCTTGGGACACAAAGATACTACATAAGAGAAAAGACAAATACAAAACCCACTGTTATAATGCATTTGACGCGGGACGCAGCCATTCGGGTAGCATGATTTATGTTCTAGACAGTACGCTCGGCAGAGCTCTTATGAAGTGGGGGATGGGAAGCCTTCTGGTGGTAGTGTCTAAAACCAACACTCTCCCACACACCACACACAACCCCACTCACACGCGCGCTCACACCCGTGTTGGCTGAAGACCTTACTGATGCCAACTGAGAGGAGCCAGCTGACTATCTCAGTTGGCTGGCACCAAGAGTGCTGCCACAGGCGGCCATGAGGATTGAACCTACAACCTCCTGAATGCCACTTGCATGCCTAACCAATTGAGCTAGGCCGCTGGATGGAACCCAGATACTTCGACCGCAGAAGGGGAAAAAAAAAAAAAAAAAAAAAAAAAAAAACTCAAAAACGAATCACAAGCTACTGAGGGCTGTACCACCCCACACGCGGCCAGGAAACTACTAGCAGTGTATCTACCCATGTTCTACCATAAGATTCATGCTCGTTTTGCACATTTGGTCAGTAGTGGAGCAAGGCCCTCGATCTCCACAACTCTCGTGGCAGAGGTAAGTACGGTTTTCCTTCTTTTTTTTTCCGAAAGTCAATATGTTTTTTATTTTTATTTTTTTTTCCTTTTCTTTTCTTAGTAAGCCCTGCCAACGAGGCAGGGCAGTCCGTTCCAGATTTCGTTACTTGGACGTGGTAAACAGCGCAATGCATCGATACTGTATTTCTGGGAAGATGCAGTTAGAAAAAAAAAGAAGAAAAAAGCCGGAACTACCCAGACCCAAATCGCCCGCCCAGACCCATATCGCCCGCCCCCAGTTTGCAACGGGAAAAAGACACTATCCCTTAAAAGGGAAACAAAGGACTGGCGCCCTATACCAAATTGCAACGAACTTGGCGACAAGATAACCTGCCCTACTACCAGTCTTAGGGACGAATGCGACCGGACCCTATTTTCTGCTGTCGGAGACCCCAAACGAACCCGTCCGAGCGAAGCTGTACTGCACGACCTAACTGAAAATAGAAAGAAATGAAACGCCGAAAATGGAACCCACACCAGCGCAGCCTCCTGGCTGCAAACAGTGAAATAACGCAGGCCGGAAGCATGATTCCACTGTGAGAAGATGCCAAAAAAGGCTGACGGTACCGGGCCTCCGAAAATTATACCCTCAGTGCCTCATTTGGCATATGGACTTTTTCCTCGGGCGGCATTGCAAACTGCCCGCCGACAGGCTCGCCAAGGCCACTGGAAAGGTAGTGGCCATTTAAGTGGGTAAACCTTAAGACCCCAGTTACACTCAGTACAACAGAGTAACCTGGAAAGAGGGGAACTCTCACCCCTCTACATTTAAGCGGGTACACCTTAAGACCCCAGCTATATGCAAGGTAGTGTTTGATCAACCTGACCAGTCATAGGAGCATTGTGGAGGGATTCCATTTTTGATACAAACCCTCATTTCCGTTGCAGACACATACAGACACAAGCTATTGAGGCAAAGCCAGGGAGGCGCCGACCGCGGGGAAGAGGAAGGACAACCAAAGGAGGAGGGGGCCTAAAGAGTGCAGTGCAAAAAAACACGAGGAGATGGCAAGGGATCAGACTGATTCACGATCGAAAAAAAAGAGAATGGTTGGCAAACTTGGCGGCAACCCTGAAAATCCAGCGGACCTACAGGGATGAGCGGGACATTGGACTAGAGTACAATCAATTTTCACAAAAGAACTCCATTGAGTCTATTCTGCATTATTCTATACAAAGTATTCTGCGACCAGTCTGAAAAAAAAAGCAAAACGCAAACAGCAGGCAGGTGGACAGTCGAGAGAGCCAGTCCGCAATCTGCAGCTGCAGAGGGTGGAGGGACACCGTCATAGAGGTCATGTCGGCAGCAAGCAGGGAACATCTGCAGACAGCTGTTCTGCAGGGCAATCATCTGCAGACAGCTGTTCTGCAGGGCAAGGGAGGCGAGCGGGCAGGCAAGCACCAGAGAAAGCCCAGCAGCATGGTGGGAAAGGTTGCAACACAAGGCAAGGAGGGCAAAACAGCAAAGGCAAGACAGTGCAAAGCTACGCAAGCAGCATTGGCAAGGTATATTCGAACCATAAAGCATGGACCCAAGCAGATCATATCACCTATTCACATCATAAGTAGAATTCTACAGGCTGTACGCTCATGCAACCATTAGGTCATGTAGTCGCTTTGACAGACGAATGTCCATCATTACCACAGGACTCAGACACACGGACAGGTATCCCCAACACAGAAGCAGCCCCGTAAGAGTCCGCAGCGACTTCTAACAAACAGGCACACTGACTATTTGGCACATCTCGAAGGTGCTGGGCATGGACACCGAGGAGAGCTTGCCGAAAGGCCACATCATGCGCAAAGAAAATAACTACACGAAGAGGAAGAAAATAAATTATAAATAGCATAATCACGTGTTCATGTGATGCTGCGTATGTGTTTTTATGCCTGTGTGTGTGTACAAAAGCACCACACCAACCCCTTTTCACCCAGATGCCTGGATATGATAATGGACACAACCTTACCTTGTTTATGTGCCATGTGGGTGGGTGTGTGTGTGTGTGTCATGTGTGTGTGTGTGTGTGTGTGTGTGTGTGTGTGTGTGTGTGTGTGTGTGTGTG